CCAGAAAAGTATTTTCCTTTTTAAAATTACAGAGAGGCCCTCCCGTTGATCATCGATTTGCTCGAGCGGGCCCAGTAACGTCTCCATTGGAGACTTTGTTGTTACTGTGTCTGGCATATCGAATACTCTCGGTAGCTTGCTGGGCTATCCAAGAGGGGCGGAGGAATCGAACTCGGGTCGGCCATGTTGGCCGCTTGTAAGGCGAACGCCCTACCCGCTGTGCTATCGCTCCAGCCCTATTTTCCTTTTTATCGGTGATTTTAGCATCTATAAATCTTTTCATCATTTGTGACCAAAGAGTATCAAATAATGTAGCTGTACTTTTTTTTTTTTGCTTTTTTTTTGGGTCACACCTAGCGATGCTCAGGGGTCACTCCTGGCTCTGCACTCAGGAATCACTCCTGGCGGTGCTCAGGGAACCATATGGGATGCTGGGAATCGAACCCGGGTTGGCCGCGTGCGAGGTAAACGCCCTCCCCGCTGTGCTATTGCTCCAGCCCCAGTAGCTGTACGGCACCATGGCAAAACAGCCAGAAACAGAGTCTGTGCTTCAGGTAACTCACATCAGCTCATCACCAGAGAATATCAATCTACTCGTAATTTTAAATTTGGGTCCATATCCAGGGGTGCTGGCAATTACTCCAGGTTCAGTGCCCAGGTTGCTCAGAAGACGGTTGGTCCACAGTCCATCTGCTGGCGGGAAGAGGAAGAGGCAGATCTGGCTACAACTGTCACTGTGACTGTCACTGTCCTCCCGTTGATCATCGATTTGCTCGAGCGGGCCCAGTAACGTTTCCATTGGAGACTTTGCTGTTACTGTGTTTGGCATATTGAATACATCACGGGGAGCTTGCCAGGCTCTGCCGTGCAGGCGAGATACTCTCGGTAGCTTGCCGGGCTCTCCGAGAGGGGCGGAGGAATCGAACTCGGGTCGGCCATGTTGGCTGCGTGCAAGGCAAACACCCTACCCGCTGTGCTATCGCTCCGGCCCCTGGCTACAACGAGGGCCACACAAACGTCAGACCAAGCGGAGAAGGAGCAGGACGCAGGCGACACTCAAGCCTCCTGGTCTTTCCACGGGTTCCTTCATTTCCCCTCCCAGTGGGTCACGAGCAGACTTGGGGCTGCAGCCGTCGGATAACTCAGTGCCTGGGAGGCCCCCTCTCTCCTCCGCCTCCTGCTGATCTAGGAAGTTCTGCCTTGAGACACACTGCAAGGCCTGGGCTACTGAAGCTGCCAAGGCCAACGCTTGCATGGGCTGGGGCCAGGCAGGGAAAGGGGTCGGTCTTGGGGGCACCTGACTCCAGGGCCCGAGGAGCTCCTTGACAGGAAAGAAGAAGAATCCACGGAGAAGCCCAAGGCCAGATGCTCTGATCGGGCATGAAACCCCAGTGGTTTCGACCGGAGTGGCAGCACAGTGGGGGAGGGCGTTTGCCTTGCACGCAGCCGACCAGGGTTTGATCCCTGGCATCCCTTATGGTCCCCCCAGCACCAGGAGGGGTAATTCCCGAGCACTGCCTGGTGTGGCATCCCCCCAAAGGAAGCCCCCCAGTAAACCCCTGTGGTCTTAGCAGACACTAGCATAGAGGCGGAGCTCTTGTCGCACCTCTGACCTTCGTTCCAGCCCCCATTCCCAGACTCAGCGCCAAGTCACGGCCAACACGTTGGAGAAAGCCTGGCTTCAGGAGCTGGAGGTCCCTTGGCAGTCGCAGGACCCTGCCCTGGGTGACCTGCGTAGCTGCGGCCACACCCTAAACCCAGTCTAGTTTTGGTTTGGGGTTATGCCTGGCGGTGCTCAGGGCCCACCCCTGTCTCTGTGCTCAGGGATAACTCCTGGAGGGGCTCAGGGGACCATCTAGGTGCTTGTGTTTGGATCAGGTCAGCTGTGCCTTACCCCTGGCGCTATCTCTCTGGCCCCCAAACCCAGGAATTATTAATGTACTTAGCATGGTAGGTGGAGGTCCCTTCGCTCCCTTAGAAATGCAGAAAAATCATGAGAGAGAAGAGAGAGAGAGAGAGAGAGAGAGAGAGAGAGAGAGAGAGAGAGAGAGAGAGAACAGTGCAGTGGGTAGGTACTTCATTGCACATGGTTGAGCCAGGTTCCATGCCTGGCGCTCCATATGGTCCCGGGGATGCCAGGAGTAATCCCTGAGCACTGATCAGTGTAGTCACCCCCAACCCCCTCCTTCCCGCCTCCAAATCCAGTGAAGTCTGATCCCAGAGGGAGATACTGAGGGTCAGTGGCCGGGCGGTCCAGGAAGACGCTGGATCCCAGATGTTGAGCTCAGACAGAGCAGGGCTGGTGAGGAGAGAACAGGGCAGGGATGGACTTTATTATACACCGGCTGGTCCTCCCCACCCAGCGAGGAGACCCCTCTGAGCAGCTTACCCCTCGCCCTCCAGGGCTGACAAAGCCAAACAGATGGGCAGAAATCAAGGCAGTGTCCCCCCCCACCTCCGGCAAAATGACGTTGGCAACTGCCAGAAAAGGGCTAAGTCAGGCGGTGGGATGAACGAGGAGGTTCCCGAGAAATCAACCTCAACAATAAAAAAAAAAAAATGGGACGACGAATTTAAAATAACTTCTAGGACAAAGTTGGCCCGAGAACTCGAGAACTCAAAGGCGCACTTGCACAGGACAGCAAAGAAATGCAGAAAACGCTGAAACTGAAACTGGCAGAGAGCGGAGCACTGTGCCAAGGCGGCCAGAGCTGGGAGGGTGTGGGGATGAGCGCAGCCTCCGGACAGACTCTGTGGCTGGTCCTACGACGGTGTAAAGGAAGAGTGTGCATGACTGGGTCACTCACAGGCACGCAGCTGAAGCCGCTGGAAGTCTCCTGAGAAAGACCACCGCAGCATTTATTCCCAATCGCCGGAACAACGGATTCGACCTCAAAACCATCTGCAAACGACGAGACAACCTAGAACTGTGCCACCGGCACTGCTACTCGGCCAGCAAAACAGGATGAAGTGATACCTTTGGTGATGAGCTGGAGGGAACTGGAGGCGAGTGTGCAAAGTGAACTAGGTTACAAGGTCAGGGACAGTTCTCTGGTGTTCCCCGAATACGCGGGTCCTCAGCCAAACCGCAGAGACCACTCAGACTCCTGAGACGCACCCGTCCGAGGGGGAGGGGCGGAGAGGCGTAAAGAACAGCTGGAGGGGTCATTTTTGTTTTGGGGACACACCCGGCAGTGCTCCGGACTGACTCCTGGCTACGGGCGGGCTCGGGGTACCATCTGGGGTGCTGAGGATGGAATCCTGGTGGACTGTCGGCAGAGGACTGTCTCCAGCCCCCAGTGAGGACACCAGGTCTTCGGAGCTGTGTGCAGAGAGATGCAGACGCCTGCGCAGAGGTGAAGCTGTATCGCCCAAGTTACAGTATCCTCAACCAGAGAGAGCTGTTTCAAGAATGAAGCACTGTAGCACTGTCCTCCCAGTCGTTCAATTTGCTCAAGCGGGCCCAGTAACATCTCCATTGTGGGACTCCTTGTTACTGTGTTTGGCATGTGGGCTGTGGTACTCTCAGTAGCTTGCTCTCGGAGAGGGGCGGAGGAATGGAACTCGGGTTGGCCGTGTCTGGCCGAGTGCAAGTGTCTGGCCGCTGTGCTATCGCTGATGTTTCAAGAATATTTTTTTTTAAAACTTTAATCACTTTAAAAAAAAAAACAACTTTGGATCTGTGACAGATCCTTACAAAGCTGTTCAGGCTTGGGTTTCAGTCATTCAGTGTTCCAACACCTCCACCAAGGTACATGTCCCAGCACCAGCATCCCCAAGTTCCCTCCCATCACCCACAATCCCCACCCCGGCCTGCCTCTATGGCAGGTGTTTTTCTTCTCTCTGTCTCTCTCCCCTCCCTCCCTCCCTCCTTTTGGGCATTCTTGATAACCTTTCACTATCAATAAGAATTATCATAGTTGTGGTGTGGAAGGGAAATCTGAAGTTTAACCTTGCATTGGTATCTGCAATTGTTTTGTTTTTTGGGTCACACCCCACAACGCACAGGGGTTCCTCCTCGCTGTGCTTGGGGGGACCCTAGGGGATGCTGGGAATCGAACCCGGGTCGGCCGCGCGCAAGGCAAACGCCCTCCCCGCGGTGCTCTCGCTCCAGCCCCGGTACCTGCAATTTTTATTTTCCGCTACTAGACTGCATTTCAAGAGCCTGAAAAGTGCCATGAAGTTCAGTGGTAGGAAAAGGATCTGTCGACATTCAGCACAAGGGCAATGTGATTCCCGATAATGAACATCCACCGAGAATGTCAGAGGTTCTGGAAAAAGAAAAAGAAAAAGAAGTGAGGAAAGGAAGGAAAGAAGGGAGAGGAGAGAGAAAGAGCGGAAGGAGGGAGGCGCAGGAGGGAGGAAGGGCGGGAGGAGGGGCGGGGCGGGCGGGAGCGCGGGCGGGGCTGGCCCTGCCCAGGGTGGCCGGAGCGTCGGCCCGAGCCCCGCGCACCGGACGCGCATCGTGGGCACCGGGGCCTCCTCGGGTCAGTGCGGCGCGGCGGGGCGCGGCGCGGAGGGGGACCCGGCCCGCGGTGCCGGTACCGGCTCTGCTGCTGGGCGCGCGGCCCGGAACCGAGAGCGCGCGGCCGGGAACCGAGGGCGCCGGGCCCGGAACCGAGAGCGCGCGGCCGGGAACCGAGGGCGCCGGGCCCGGAACCGAGGGCGCGCGGCAGGGCCCGGGCCGGCGATCGTGCGCGCCGGGTTCCGGCTCCGGTTCCGGTTCCGCGGCCATGCTGGGGCGGGTGTGGGTCCGGCTGCCGGCGTTGCGGGCCCGCGGGGCGCAGGGCGCGCGGGGTGCGAGCGGCGCGCGGGGCGCGGACGGCGCGCGGGGCGCGGACGGCGTGGACGGCCCGGGGGGCCCGGGGGGCGCGGGCGGCCCGGGGGGCGCGGGCGGCGTCGGCGACGCGGGCGGCGCTGGGGGCGCGGGCGGCGCCGGGGGCTCGGGCGGTACGGGGGCCGCGGGCGGTGCGGGGGGCGCGGGCGGCAAGGGGGGCGCGGGCGGCCCGGGGGGCGCGGGGGGCCCGGGGGGCGCCGGCGGCGAGGGCGGCGCGGGGGGCGCAAAGCTCGGGGAGCGCCCGGAGCCGGCGCTGCTGCAGCTGCTGGTGTGTCCACTGTCCCGGAAGCCGCTGCGGTGAGCGGGCCGGGGCCGGGCCGGGGGTGGACCGGGCTGGACCGCCCTCCCTCCCCGTCTCGGGCCTGTCGGTGCCGTGTCCAGCGCTTGCAGGCCGGAGTCAGCCCCAGGAGGGGCCTCGACGGCCGGGGGTGGCCAGGGCAGCAGGGGCGGGGCCTCCCATCGGGGCCGGGTCCCCAGCAGAGCCCAGGACGGGTCCCCCCATCCGATGCGCGCGCGCCCCGGCCAGGACCGGCTCCCAACAGGCCTCTCTCCCGCCCGCAGGTACGAGGCGTCCACCAACGAGCTGGTGAACGAGGAGCTGGGCATCGCCTACCCCGTGGCCGACGGCATCCCCAACATGCTCCCGCAGGCGGCCCGGCGCACACGGCCCGCGCAGCCCTAGGCCATGTGGCCGTCGCTGCCCACGCTGGCCGTGCTCGTGCCTCTCGTGTCCCTGGCCGGCCTGGCCTACTCGGCCTGGGTGGACGAGAGCTTCCCGCAGGCCTGCACGAGCGCCGGCAGCCTCTGCTTCTACAGCCTGCTGCTGCCCGTCACCGTGCCCGTCTACGTCTTCTTCCACCTCTGGGCCTGGATGGGCATCAAGCTCTTCCGGCACAACTGACGCTCCGGGACAACGGATGCTCCGCCGCAACTGATGCTGATGCTCCGCCGCGTTGCCGGGGCAACTGCGGGAGGCGGCGGTTGGGCCGCCTGCCTTCTCCGACGACCGGGATGCTCGAGCCATTCCTCCAGGTTCCCCGATTCGGAGTTTTCTTGTTTGATCCCCTTCACACCCTTCGGGCCATTCTCTTTGAGAATGACTTAAAAAAATTCCAAGGGAGTTGTGTTGTAAAAACACTTGTTTCAAGCAGTGTTTCTGAACAATAAAAAGCAAATTTTATGTACCAGCAAGACCTGGAGTTTGTTTTGCGTGGCCTGAGAGATCTGTGGGTTTTTTCCTGTGGGGACACCCAAGTCCCCGGGGGAGAAGCTTTGTCCGAGGTGACCAAGTCTACGTGCTTGTCGTCTTCAGCGGCTCCCGCGTCGGGGCGAAACTCTGCATGTTCACAGCCCAGTTCTTACACACCCGGACTGCCCGGTTTCTGGCTCCCGAGGACTGCATTGCGCACCTCACTGTATCACTGTGCTGTTTCATCATAAACTGACTGTCTGGCCTCTGAGCTGGGTAAGGAAGCGTGGCACTCCATGAGCCGCTCAGAAAGACCAATACAGACACGGCAGCTGGCACAGGATGATCATTAGAGCCCCAGGCACAGGAGGACAAGAGGGATGCTTGGAATCCTCCTGCCTGGCCCCTGGCTACAAGGAATTCCACAGGTGGGGGAGGAGGGGCTCGGACCATGACCTAGTTCCTCAAAGACTCGGAGGTGGGTTTGGGGACAAACGGGAAGGGAAGCCTCACACGGGTCTCGGGTGAGAGCGGGTGCTGGAAGATTCCTCCTACACCCTCCTGACCTGTGAGATTCAGGTGCTTTGATGCAGGTACGAGGGGACGGGACTGGGTGGGTGGCAGTCTTGCTTATTCTGGCAGACAGTTGGAACACTTGCTGCTTCTACAGATCCAAAGGAAAGATCGCAGATTTTTTTTTTCTTTCTGGCTTACCCCCGTAAGGCTCCCGTGGGGCCATGAATTTTCTAACCACGGGGCTAGAAGTCTTAACTCTTGGCTTTGTTTCGGGGGGCTAGAAATCCTCCCCTCCTTCACCAAGTGGCAGCGCGCTAAGGAACTAAGCTGCGGTGAACCCCGGGAGGGAAGTTTGACGAACTCTGGACTCAGTCCCCATAAAACAGCCCTTCCCCGGGGGGAAAGTGAGCCCGAGAAGCCAAACTGAAAGTCCTGGAAATTGTCCCAGGGCATCGGGCTAAGGGAGCGTGGGAGGAAATACCCATCACCAAGGTCTGGGCCCGGGGAGGCCGGCAGAGCAGCTCTGTCTGCGCTGCTCACTGCCAGAGGCCAGGGACTCGGTGGGGAGACATGGCCTATACCGCCCTGCCCAGCCCCCGCCCCTCTGGGGATTCTAGAGGGTTCTGGTTTCTTACCACGAGGTGGCAGTCCACGGCAGAATTATGTCACGGAGAAACAAGGTCAATGTGTTTGGCTTTTTCTGTAACTTCTGCGGGGCAATTGCAGTTCAGTCCCTAGCATCTCTCTGTGAAGCAAGACAGTTGTCGTGAGGCTGAACTTAGGGAGACGCACAAGGGCCACGGAGGGGAGGAAGGCAAGATCCTGAGGGAACAGAGCCTCAAAGAGTCAAGAGAGACCCCCGGGCTGGAAGGAAGCGGCACCCAAAGGACACCTGAAGGCAACAAGGGACAAGTGGGAAGGTATGAAGGTCAGGCGAAGCCTGGGGGAAGGGTCAGCCCGTCCAGAGCACCACAACCAAACGTCTGACCTCTGTACACAAATATGCACCATCAACCAGGGGTGTGTGTGAACACTGCTCCCCACAGACACACACACTCAGTCTCTCCCTCTCTCTTTCTCTCCTAAGCCCCCCCCATTACTGTTACAAATCCCCAGCTGTTACTTCTGCTCACAGTAAGTGACGAGCAGTACTATGTAAATTACAGGCAGTAACATGTAAAGCAGTTTTGCTGAATCAGTCAAGGGAATAAATCAGTAATTTGAATCAATCAATCAAGTTTTGTTGGGGCGGTGAACAGAATCAGTAGTGAATGAAAGAGCAGTTCCAAGAGCAGAGAAAAGCTACGTAGAGATTTCCTGCATCCCTAGCCCTACGAGAGGACAAGCTTCACAAGACTCCCACCTCACACCCCGCTGAGAAAAAGGCAAGATGCTGCAACTTCAACAGAGACCCAAGAGAGACAGACAAATCTGCCCCGTGACGCAGAAGTTCCCTTCCTAGTAGGCTCGAGGGAAACGAAGACTTTCAGGCCGCCCACCTGGAACAAGCACCTGAACGCCGGCAGCAGCGAGGAATCAGAAGGACCCTCAAGCAGAACTCCAGGACCCAGAAGAGACCAGGGAATCCAACGCGGCGTGAGCTAGGGAGCCGAGCCGGAGGCCAGTGAGGACGAAGCACGGCCGGTCTCGCTGGCCCCCGCCGGGCTCACGCCTTCTCCGGACTCTGTCTGCGAGCCGGGTTGGCACTTCTCTGACTGGCCTCCCCGTGGCAGACGGTGGCCTAGACCCCAGCGCCAGCAACCCAGCCGCAGGGGTAAACTGATGCTCCGGGGCTGCCCTGTGAGTGCTCAGTCAATGGCAATCGTGTTCGACAGTGCTCAGTAAGCACTGGCAGCCCCACACTCCAAGTAAGGTCAGTAATCCCGTACTGTGATCTTCCTCAAGGGAGACTCCGCCGGGTGTTCTGTGCGCGTCCGAAGCAGCTGGGCCAGCGCTCTGCCCAGTGTGCGCTATTAAATGCATTTTCAGCTTGGGGTGTTTTCAGCTTGTGACACGGTGACAAGGGTCGCCCCACCGTAACTTGAGGAACATGCGTGGGCCACCACAGGGGAACAGGCTTGGGAAAAGGATACGGGTATAAAGCCAGTTACGAAAAGAGATCGTTTCATTTATGTAAGATGTCCGTAATGGGCAAACTTCTAGAAGCAGAAAGCAGGGTGGCGGCTGGGCAGGACTGGGAGCCAAGGGGAAACTGTGCAAGTATTTGAGATGAGATGATTGAAAGTATTCCACAACGGGGGTGGAGCAACAGGACAGCGGGTAGGGTACTCGCCTTGCACAGCCAACCTGGGTTTGATCCTCAGCCTCTGTGGTCCCTGAGTCTGCCAGGCGTGATCCCTAAGCATTCTGGGGTGCGACCCAACACCCCCCACCCCCAGTATTCCAAAACTGTACCACTGGTTGTGCAATTCTGGGAATATACTGAATCCAGCAAGTTGGACACTTTACATGGCCGAATGATACATCGTGCGAATTAACTTTTCATAAAGCTAGGACCCAGAAATGAGAGGAAACGCCTTATGCGAACGGCTTCAGAGGCTGTCCGCTGCACCGTGCTCTTCGGAGCCCCCCTCCCCCCATCGAGACACCGCAGCCCTTCTGGGGAATCAGTCGGTTGCCTGTGTTCTCCTCCCCCCAATACACCATACTGGCTTCTGTACGGGGCCAGCTCCCCTCACACCCTGCCACGTCTCTCATGCCAGACACATCGCTGACCCATCACTCAGTCACTGGCTGAGCCCGGCACTCCTTCTCTGGAGACTGCGCACCCAGGGGCCTCCTCACGGGCGGGCGCTGTGGAACGCCGCAGGTGCCATCGCCAATGGCTCCACACTCAAGCCGCACCCGATCCTGGGCTCCTGAGCACCACGCCTGCACCCACGACTCCTAAGGGAGCCTCTGCACCCCTACAGCAGAGAGGGCCTCTACTTCCTGGTTGGTCGGAGTTCTCAGGGAGGGGAAACTTTCAGGAGCTCCGGAGATTCCTGAGACACAGCTGGGGGTCTTCCAACCCGCCCTCCCGCTGCTCAGGCCAGTGCTGTGCTCAGTCTATGCACTAGGTGGCGCTCTGGGCGCCCCCAGGCACACTCTGGCCCGCATGCAAGAGCCTAGAAGGGAAGGAAACCCGTCTGCGCCCAGCGTGGCTCTAGAATTGTCAGGGCTGGACTGACCTCCTGGGTGTGGAGTGACAGAAGGGGAGCGAAGGGAATGACGGGCGGCTCCTGCCTGGTGGCACTGGCAGCCCCACACTCCAAGCTGCAGAACTTCAGGGAAAATCACCAAGTTCTCCAAGAAATGCCCTGAGGCGGAGAGCCAGGGGCAGGTGGCACAGACCCCCAGCACCCAGCTGGCTGCGCCCCCCCCCCCAAGAGCCGTGGGTCCCTCGGGAGACGCTGACGCAGGCACTTCCTGCGGCCAGTGTGAGAGGGGCAGGTGGAATCCCCAACACACAAGCCAGCCTGGAGTCGACGTTTCGCGAAAGCCGTCAGTCCTGGGCAGGACTGAGGGCTGGTGGGGCCAGTGCCCACATGTGACTCGGGCCTTCTGTGACGGGCAGCAGGGCAGCCTGAGTGGGAGCAAGTCAAGTCAGCCCCACAGACTCCGGGGACGCCGAAAGGAAACCCAACCCGCCCTGCGCCGCGACTGGTCCATCTTCAGGTGAACGGGGCTCACGGAGCCTGGGGACAGCCAGGAGGACTGTAGCGCCCATTTTTCGGTTCATCATTTTATTTCTGAAAACGTGTCCAAGAGAGGCCGGGGAGGGACAGGCGGTCAGCCGAAGCCCCTGTCGCTGCGGATGGCGACCTGCAGCGCCTCCTCCAGGCGCTCCATCGTGGAGTACTTGGGGAGGTAGAGGGTGCTGAAGCGGGTCTGCGCTCTCAGGGGGTCCTTCTCGTTCAGGTTCTCAGGGCAGCAAAAGGTTATTTTCATGTTCTTTAACCCTTTCATCTGAACCCGGTCAGTCCCTGTGAGAAACACTGCGAACAACAACAGAAGTGAGTGGTCTGCGCCGCAGGCCGGCACCGTCGCAAAGGAACAAGAACGTTTCCCGAGCCAGGTTGGGGGCGACTGGCACACACGGCACCGAGGGGCACGTCTGACCCTGCCCCCAGCCGCTCCCGCCAGCCACCGGGGCCACTGCGCAGAAGGGGAACGGCAGCAGGAGCGGAGTCTAAGAAAGCACCGAACCAGCCACCACGGCACGCACGAGTTCCTGGAGTTCCTGCCTGTGTGGCGGGGGGGGGGGGGGGGGGGGGGGGGTGTCGGATGGAGGCTGGTGGCTGAGCTGCAGGGAGAGATACGCCTGCCTCTGCCTCGCCTCCCAGAGCCTGGGGACACCACGGGGAGCTCAGAAACAGACACAAGGCTGCTGGGCGCACAACAGCCATGCAACGACGGCGAGGTTCAGATCTGGAAGGCAAGGAACTTCCGGAGAAGTCCAAGCATGTTCCAACACAC